AAGAAGAAGAAGAAGAAGAAGAAGAAGAAGAAGAAGAAGAAGAAGAAGAAGGAGGAGGAGGAGGAGGAGGAGGAGGAGGAGGAGGAGGAGGAGGAGGAGGAGGAGGAGGAGGAGCAGGAGGTGGAAGGATGGATGGAGGGAGGGAGGGAGAAAAAGAAGAAGAAGAAAAAGAAGAAGAAGAAGGAGGAGGAGGAGGAGGAGGAGGAGTAGGAGGAGAAGAAGGAGCAGAAGAAGAAGAAGAAGAAGAAGAAGAAGAAGAAGAAGAAGAAGAAGTGGGGACTTTTTTCGTTTGTTACCCTACCTTGGGGGGGGGGAGAGAGAGAGAGAGAGAGAGAGAGAGAGAGAGAGAGAGAGAGAAAGAGAGAGAGAGAGAGGGGGGAGAGAGAGAGAGATAAAGAGGAGGCCAGAAAGCACTACAGAGGGAGGTATGTGAGAGTGACAGGGAGGGTGTCGTCGAAAGCGCCAAGAGTAGCCTATCGTAGGTCTACTTAATGTATTAATGGGTCAAAGTCAAAGGTTCAGCCAATCGTAGCCCAGTTTACACCTTGCGTGTAGTCCCATGTGTGTGTGTGTCTAGATCGAATATCTAGAACAAGATAAAAAATGATGAAAGTATTGAAAGTAGATTTCTCCTGCAGTGGATTAGCGCGCGCGCTGAACTGCGTCGAAAGATATTTGTGTTCAGTGTGTTCGTGTGTAGATCTATCTCTAGATCTAGATCTAATATCTAATCTAGATCAAGATAAAAAATCAAGTCGGCCTAACTCTTTTTTTTAAGTGATTGAGCTGGAACTTTAGGAGAAAATGCCACCCCTTCGAAGAGGGGGAAGAAGTCTTAGTCTTACCCCCAAAGGTAGTCAAGAGGGTGTGCTACAAAATAGGTAAATTCAAGGTAAAATATTTATGTTTTGTTTCTCTCCTGTTTTCAGTTTTTTTCCTGTTCTTAGCTTTCCTAATACTTCCTCATTATTATTCCGTTCGTAGAATGGGTACTTTTACTAGTAATAATAAAAATAATAATAATAATAATAATAATAATAATAATAATAATAATGATAATGATAACAATAATGATAACAATAATAGGGTAATAGTAATAATAATAATAAAACAGTAACAATATTAATGACAATAATAGTTATTATTATTATCATTATATTATTATTATTATTATTATTATTATTATTATTATTATTATTATTATTATTATTATTATTATTATTATATTAGCGATGAAAAGGTACCTTTTCGATTGTGTAAAAAATCAAGCATAATTTTGAGGTCTTACGCTTTTCCTTTCACTTGAGTAATACTTCCTACTCCTCAAAGGTAGGTTATGCTTCAAAAACACTTTGGTGCGCTTTCACAGCACACAAGTTAACAAATAGAGTACTGACATTTTCTCCTTACCATAGAGCGGAATTTTTTATTCTATACTTTGGGGTTTTTTAAGAATGAATTTTATGTGTGTGTTATTTTAAGGCTGCAATAACATTTCAACTTTGCCACCTAAGAAATATGGTAGGTTTAACTCAACATCAGATAAATCAATTCATTGGCATGTTTTGCGAGTTTCTGCTGTTGCCTAGACATTCAACGTCAACAGAAACACGCACGTTGAACGTCAGACGCGGTTGTAAACGCGTCTTTTAAAAGATCTAAATTGTCTCAAAGGGAATGTAAAAGCATCTGCATTTAGACAAGCGTTAGTGTCCTTTTCTAGATAAAGAGTAATCAACTACAACTATGTGGAGAGTAAGGCATGGAGAGCTCAATATGGTCTGGGTGTCACATGATACCTTTGTGCCAACCTGCACTCCTAAAGAGCGCCCTCCCGTCGAAAGTAGAATCACAGAAACATATTATTTCAGAATAATAATATAGGCCTAGAACAATGCGTCTCAACCCTTTTACAACTTTTCGGAAATTGCCTAGGCGAGCTGAATATTGGCTTGATACTTTCAGCTGTGTGGATGGCAGAAGAGTAATTCTGCCTGGTACCTGGTGTACTTTTGTTTTTGCTTTCTCATTTTTGCTTTGATCTTTTTACAATGCTGTTATGGTATCTTTATTTTGTACACGTGCTTGTTTGTACCTCAAAACTCGACATCAGCAAAAACAACAGCAAGAACAACAACAACAACAACAACAACAACAACAACAACAACAACAACAACAACAACAACACCAACAACAAGAGTTTGAAATTATTTGATCTATTCTTTGATCCTTTGTGCATAGGTAAGTATATGAGAATTGCATCGAAAAGTATACATGGGAAGGATAAAATGAGAAATGCTTATCTATTTTGCGTTTAAAGAAAAGTACAGTATTAGGTCATCTTCAGAGAAACAAAATAATATGAGGGCATAGTATAACGCATAACTTTGAGACAAGAAGCAAGACTTACAAACCATTCACACTTAATAATATCAGCACACCCATAACCTGCAAACTCATTTGATACTGAATGTCATATGTCTCCCTCCCTTGCCCCTCCCCCCCACCTGCTCTCTCTCTCTCTCTCTCTCTCTCTCTCTCTCTCTCTCTCTCTCTCTCTTCAATTTCAAATCCAAATGCTGTCAAGTATCCGTCCTAGTAGCCTGTGCCTTCCTT